GAATTCCGTCGAAAATCTCAGCGAAATTGAAGTCGAACGGGAGGCGGAACAGGAACTTATCCGCCGTCCAATTCCAGATTTTGTTAGCTTCCGCTTGCAACGTGGCAAATGCGGCTCTCGACTGACTCATCATCTCGTCATGGGTCTGGACAAGGATACACGGATTCAGCACACTGATGATCTTTTGTTCATTCATCAGAATATACAACATCTCCGTTGACATGCGCATCTGGCTGTCGAATCGCTCGAAATTGAACTTTTCGCCTTGCCAGAACATTCTATGGTTTCTCGCTAGCTCGATTTGCACTTCTACGAAGTCTGTGGCGGTGAGGATCAGGTGCTTCTTGCGGGGAACTTTTCGGGTGGACGGCTTTGGAAGGTGTTGGAATGTTCTGAAAAAAAAAAGTTGTGGAAGACTACAGTGACCTAAAGAATTCTATTTTTAGTGTTTTCCAGGGTTTTGAGCTCATTAACAGCTAGACTCCGCCCACTTTTCAGAAAGTGGGCGTGGCCCAGTTTTCTATCATTTTAAGCTCATTACCAGCTTTAAAACGAGACCAAACTCGACTAGGCTCCGCCCACTTTTCAGAAAGTGGGCGTGGTCTTGAAAATTCGAGATTGGGCGAAGCTTAAAACTAGCTCAAACTCGAATAGGCTCCGCCCACTTTGAAGAAAGTGGGCGTGGCTTAGTTTTCTGTTATTTTGAGCTCATTACCAGCAGCAAAACAAGTTCAAACCCGAATATGCTCCGCCCACTTTATAGAAAGTGGGCGTGGCCTAGTTTTCTATCATTTTAAGCTCATTACCAGCTTTTAAACTAGACCAAACTCGAATAGGCTCCGCCCACTTTGAAGAAAGTGGGCGTGGTCTTGAAAATTCGAGATTGGGCGAAGCTTAAAACTAGCTCAAACTCGAATAGGCTCCGCCCACTTTATAGAAAGTGGGCGTGGTCTTGAAAATTCGAGATTGGGCGAAGCTTAAAACTAGCTCAAACTCGAATAGGCTCCGCCCACTTTATAGAAAGTGGGCGTGGTCTTGAAAATTCGAGATTGGGCGAAGCTTAAAACTAGCTCAAACTCGAATAGGCTCCGCCCACTTCATAGAAAGTGGGCGTGGTCTTGAAAATTCGAGATTGGGCGAAGCTTAAAACTAGCTCAAACTCGAATAGGCTCCGCCCACTTCATAGAAAGTGGGCGTGGTCTTGAAAATTCGAGATTGGGCGAAGCTTAAAACTAGCTCAAACTCGAATAGGCTCCGCCCACTTTGAAGAAAGTGGGCGTGGTGTTGAAAATTCGAGATTGGGCGAAGCTTAAAACTAGCTCAAACTCGAATAGGCTCCGCCCACTTTATAGAAAGTGGGCGTGGTCTTGAAAATTCGAGATTGGGCGAAGCTTAAAACTAGCTCAAACTCGAATAGGCTCCGCCCACTTCATAGAAAGTGGGCGTGGTCTTGAAAATTCGAGATTGGGCGAAGCTTAAAACTAGCTCAAACTCGAATAGGCTCCGCCCACTTTATAGAAAGTGGGCGTGGTCTTGAAAATTCGAGATTGGGCGAAGCTTAAAACTAGCTCAAACTCGAATAGGCTCCGCCCACTTTATAGAAAGTGGGCGTGGTCTTGAAAATTCGAGATTGGGCGAAGCTTAAAACTAGCTCAAACTCGAATAGGCTCCGCCCACTTTATAGAAAGTGGGCGTGGTCTTGAAAATTCTAGATTGGGCGAAGCTTAAAACTAGCTCAAACTCGAATAGGCTCCGCCCACTTCATAGAAAGTGGGCGTGGTCTTGAAAATTCGAGATTGGGCGAAGCTTAAAACTAGCTCAAACTCGAATAGGCTCCGCCCACTTAGTATAGAAAGTGGGCGTGGTCTTGAAAATTCGAGATTGGGCGAAGCTTAAAACTAGCTCAAACTCGAATAGGCTCCGCCCACTTTATAGAAAGTGGGCGTGGTCTTGAAAATTCGAGATTGGGCGAAGCTTAAAACTAGCTCAAACTCGAATAGGCTCCGCCCACTTTATAGAAAGTGGGCGTGGTCTTGAAAATTCGAGATTGGGCGAAGCTTAAAACTAGCTCAAACTCGACTAGGCTCCTCCCACTTTATAGAAAGTGGGCGTGGTCTTGAAAATTCGAGATTGGGCGAAGATTAAAACTAGCTCAAACTCGAATAGGCTCCGCCCACTTTATAGAAAGTGGGCGTGGTCTTGAAAATTCGAGATTGGGCGAAGCTTAAAACTAGCTCAAACTCGAATAGGCTCCGCCCACTTCATAGAAAGTGGGCGTGGTCTTGAAAATTCGAGATTGGGCGAAGCTTAAAACTAGCTCAAACTCGAATAGGCTCCGCCCACTTCATAGAAAGTGGGCGTGGTCTTGAAAATTCGAGATTGGGCGAAGCTTAAAACTAGCTCAAACTCGAATAGGCTCCGCCCACTTTATAGAAAGTGGGCGTGGTCTTGAAAATTCGAGATTGGGCGAAGCTTAAAACTAGCTCAAACTCGAATAGGCTCCGCCCACTTTATAGAAAGTGGGCGTGGTCTTGAAAATTCGAGATTGGGCGAAGCTTAAAACTAGCTCAAACTCGAATAGGCTCCGCCCACTTTATAGAAAGTGGGCGTGGTCTTGAAAATTCAAGATTGGGCGAAGCTTAAAACTAGCTCAAACTCGAATAGGCTCCGCCCACTTCATAGAATGTGGGCGTGGCCTAGTTTTCTATCATTTTGAGCTCATTAACAGCTAGGCTCCGCCCACTTTATAGAAAGTGGGCGTGGTTTTGAAAATTCGAGATTGGGCGAAGCTTAAAACTAGCTCAAACTCGAATAGGCTCCGCCCACTTTATAGAAAGTGGGCGTGGTCTTGAAAATTCGAGATTGGGCGAAGCTTAAAACTAGCTCAAACTCGAATAGGCTCCGCCCACTTCATAGAAAGTGGGCGTGGTCTTGAAAATTCGAGATTGGGCGAAGCTTAAAACTAGCTCAAACTCGAATAGGCTCCGCCCACTTCATAGAAAGTGGGCGTGGTCTTGAAAATTCGAGATTGGGCGAAGCTTAAAACTAGCTCAAACTCGAATAGGCTCCGCCCACTTTATAGAAAGTGGGCGTGGTCTTGAAAATTCAAGATTGGGCGAAGCTTAAAACTAGCTCAAACTCGAATAGGCTCCGCCCACTTCATAGAATGTGGGCGTGGCCTAGTTTTCTATCATTTTGAGCTCATTAACAGCTAGGCTCCGCCCACTTTATAGAAAGTGGGCGTGGTTTTGAAAATTCGAGATTGGGCGAAGCTTAAAACTAGCTCAAACTCGAATAGGCTCCGCCCACTTTATAGAAAGTGGGCGTGGTCTTGAAAATTCGAGATTGGGCGAAGCTTAAAACTAGCTCAAACTCGAATAGGCTCCGCCCACTTCATAGAAAGTGGGCGTGGTCTTGAAAATTCGAGATTGGGCGAAGCTTAAAACTAGCTCAAACTCGAACAGGCTCCGCCCACTTTATAGAAAGTGGGCGTGGTCTTGAAAATTCGAGATTGGGCGAAGCTTAAAACTAGCTCAAACTCGAATAGGCTCCGCCCACTTTATAGAAAGTGGGCGTGGTCTTGAAAATTCGAGATTGGGCGAAGCTT